AAGTGATAATAAAATTTCTTTATAGTAATGCTATTTGAAATATTGAAATGATTAAATTGATTTGAAATGATAAAAGTAATAGCAAAATTCTTTGTAAAATAGATTACTTTGATTTATTTCCAAAAATGTAGTATAGATAAAGACTTATACATCACTAGTTACGGCACAATTGTCTGCATTGTCTGTTGATAGCACCCAAACAAATTTCTGGTCTAGATGATGCTGCATATTTCAAGAGGCAGATATTTTATCCGTATTTTATCGGTCAACTCCGCAACGACAATCAAAGCATTCTACACGTCACCACAAATAAAAATCACATTACTTAACAAATAACTCATTATAGAACCATGAAATCTCGCTATGTGATTACCTCTTGAGACATAGGTGGTATACTAAAAGTTACTTTTAGTAGTGTAACGAATTTTCCCCCGTGTCTCTCACTTCTGTATTTGTTTAATTCATTAAGTTGTCACATACCTTCCATAATTTTATCACCATAGTCATGTTTATAGTATTAGGCATTCTTATGCATTCTCAGTGACTTAATCCATATGAATTTCCTCTAGTCACGTAAACGCGACAATTGGTATACGCGACTGCATAAACTTGATAGTATGAGTTACCTGTAGGAAATAATGTGTGAATCAGAATTAGTAGTGTTGACATTATAATTTTAGCGTAGATATCATGAGAAATGGAATGTGTATAAAGGGTTGCTCACACTCTTAGTCCGCTATTTAATGTATGCTCTCTGAAATCGTCTCTAAATCAAGCATACATCTTTTTTTATAGTAAATGCCTAATAACCATGAGCTACGGGTTCCTTATTTTTCGTCAAGTTCCCGCATCCCTTCTTACGTCAACTATCGGAGTTAAACTCGACATGATTGATGGAAGCTTTCTAATACGATGGTTACAGTAGCCCAAACGATCTCCGTGTAATGGCATTATACATACAAAAATGGAATGACTATTAAGTAACTGAGAAAATGAAATTCCAAACAGAAATCAGAAGTTAAATATGTTACTCAAACTATTTGTGGATGACCGAATGTTTTTTTGGCGGCATTGTCAACAATTATCCCTTTGTAAAAAAAAATTTATTTGAATATTTCCATTTTATCTCCTTAATTTCTGTAAAAACTCCGTGAATCGACAACATGATGTGGTAGACCGAATAATTTCCGTCATTTGAAGGTATAAATTCTATAAATATGCAACATTTATGGATAAAACATGGAATATAAAACACGGATTGATTTTTTTATAGGGTCTTCAACAGTAAAAATACGTACAGTCGACTCTGGATATAACGAACCTATATAACGAACTCTGGATATAACGAACACAAAATTTTTAAAATTTCATAAATTCAGTATAAAGAGTGCTATAGGTCCTTAAGAAAACATAGTGATTTTCTATAACGAACTTTTTTTCCTTTCCAGAATCGTCAATTCGTTATAGAAAGAGTTGACTGTACTTAAACACAAATGCTTTTTATACAAGGATTAGCGCAAAATTTTCGCTTACAATATAATATTAATACGTCATGGCGTTCAATTATTTTGTCATATTTTGGGTTAATACTCGTTTTAATGGTTTTATCGACTATAGGTTTGAGTCTTAAACCATTGCAACTTGAGAGTACTTTCATACCGCCTTATGAAAATAAATTACCCATACCAAGTAAATATCATAGCATATTAAGCTTAAATATACTGAATTTATAATATATTTTTCTAATATCATAAAATTGCAATCGATCAGATATATATTTTTCGGATCATCCATACGTTTTTAATGGTTCTGATGACTTATACAACTATGGATGTATGTTATTTCATCTGTTTTATTATTTATTATTATTATTGTTGTATACTTACATTTACATTTATCAAATTTTTCAAAGTATTGAAAAGCTACCAACAATATATTACAGAAGACGCAACATTTTCTAGGATTTTTGCTCCATCAAGGTCACTTGTATTCACATCACAGCATAATAGTAGTATCAGAGATTTTGTAAACATCATGGATCCTACTTATGTACGAACTACTTCTAATGTACGAGATACTGGTGAGCTTACAATTGACGACAGATCTTGACCATTCTTAATTCAATATTTTTAACAATAAAATTATAGGATTTTTTGGACAAAGAATTCCAGAATTACCTAATATTACTTCATTCATTTGCTCCATGATTCGACACTATTTACATGTATGTATCATATAATGATTCGAAAAATTTGGCATATATTCGCAATTGTTTTATAATTTAATAGATAAAATCCAAAGTGAAGATGAAATCTTTACTGAGATATCCAAAGTGAGGATGAAATCTTTACTGAGATATCAAAAAAGTTAAAAAAAATAATGATTTCTTCAATTTTAAATATTGTTGGTTTTACACTGAGTTATTATGATGATATACATTATGTTGACTCAAGATTATATAAAAATTTCTTATATTTCAACTATTTTATAATTTGATTATTTTTATTTTAATATATTGTTAAATTATTATAGTGGATTATAATAAGGGATATTGCCCAGATGTAACCCCTACTCAAGATAGTTACAGTCATTTATTGTATATCGAACCAGAAGTTTTTTATATCAAAGAGGAGAAAGAGAAAAGGTAAAACTATACAAAGTTTACCCTGTTATTATTTATTATATATTTCTGCTAATGTATATTTTATAATCATAGATCTATTACCGTAAGTAAAATTACTTAGCTTTAAGCTTGTTTTTATATCATATATTAAAATTTTATTTGTGCGTACAGGTTTTGTCTATGCTAAAAAGTAGAGAATGTCTTTACACAATTGTATATAGCTTTTATTATTCGCTATTCAGTGTGAGCAATTTTATTTTGCTACCATTTATGAAGGCTTGTTCACCTTTGCTTAATACTCTAGTATTATCATTTTTTTATCATTATTTCTCACTTTCTTTTGAATCATTACTATTAATAAAAAAAGGAATAATAATAATAATAATAATAACATTTTTCTTATTATTATTAAAATATCTGTTCAATTGTTTGCGAAAAATATATTTAAATATATCTTTGTCACCATTAAATTTAAAATTAGTTTTATCATCCTTATTGTTATTAATTATCTTTATCTTTTTAATTATGTTTATAGCTTATATTATACTTATTATCTGTATTTTAGCACTTTATTATATGCATATATTATGTCATACATTATTTAATAGTTTTCTGCATATGTTATCTGATTATGTTTCTGTTAATGAATTCTATTTTCGACCTTTATTAAATATTTTTAATTATCTTGTAATGTTAACATAAAAGACAATATTTGACAAAATTAAAGTAGTTAATATAAAAAATTTATTTATTATCCGGTATTTGGCAAAAATTGATATGTATGTAGTTTATTTCATTATATCTGGATATAGTACGTACGTACGTACGTATGTTTTTTTTCGGGTATACCTAGAATACCGTATGACGTACTTTGCGTATGTACTTTGTAAATAAATTTTCAGAATAAATCGAAGCGTTCGACTAGTTTCTTATATTTTAAAATTCTCTAGTAACAATTATAAGTTCTAAAGTAATCATAGTATAAACTTTATATGATTGGTAGCAGATCAAAGTACTTAAAGTCGTCTTTCATGTTTTAAAATTCATTAGACAGGTCGATGCATTGAAAATAGTTGCTCGTGTTGTAAATTTCTAATAGTTTTAAAATTCTTTATATAATCGAAGCATGTACTTCAGATTTCCACATTTTAAAATTCTCTAGATAGGGCGAAGCATTTGAAACAGTTTTTTACGATTGGATAAGTCGAAATAACTTAGTGAAGTTCTTTTTTTGTATTTTAAAATTCTCTGGGTGTTCTGTTTTGTAATAAAAACTTTTACACATTGCAGTTCACATGATTCGATTTTTATACTTACATTTTTAATTAAACCTTTTTTACTTTCTCACGTTATACCCGATTGTCGTAATCTGACGGATAATACCATTATTGGATGCCTCGTATTCAATAACTTAAGCTTTCACCATAACCCTAATAAAACTATTTAAATTTTGATTTGACGCAAATTTTAATTTGACGTACAAAATGAGTGAAGCATGGCGTCAGACATTGGGGCGGTCTGTCAGCTAAGTAAATCAAAACTATATATGGTATTATATAAAATTTTGGTATAAAATTTTTTCGTGATAAAGATTTAGATGCAGGGCTCTCACAACAAAAAAATTAGAATCCCAAACTTTGAATGGATCGATAGAAGGTGTCTCTGCAATGCAAGTGACAGAGCCAAATTTTATATTTGTTTAAAAAACTTTTGCCGGAAGCTTAAATTTCGTCCAGATTACAAATACACATAAAGTAAGAAAAAAAATTCGTTCTCCATATATAATGTAAAAAATGGCTCTGTAATTTTGTTAGTGGGATAGGAAAGAGTCGATTGGCATCAAGATTTTCTGCAAAAAAAGAAAATTTCAACCTGTGCATCTAAAAAAAAGTACTCAATTTTATATATTTCTATATATAAATATGAAAAAATTTCAGTAAGCTCCGATATTAGTGACCACATATAATTTGGAATTACTTAGTTGACATACATCCCCAGTCAGACATGTATTTCTAACATAACAATTCAGAGATTCAAGGATGGGTAAGTGGAAATAAGGTTATTGTCACCATTCGGTATGAATGTATGATTGAATGGATTGCATTTAATAGACTCAATAATATTAAAAAATTGGAGAAGGATTTGATTCTGTATTTTTGCAACCCGGCACACAAGTTCCTATCTTGTTCTAAAAAAAATTTTGTTCGAGAAAGTTGTACAGTTTATTAAGCGTATATTGGATTAAGGAATTAAAAGTGATAATAAAAGTTCTTTATAGAAACACTATTTGAAATATCATCATGGCGAATTTATGAAATTTAAGCTGAAATTCGGTCACCAAATCCGAGTATTTGGTCCTCAATTTTAGATTTTGGTTACCGAATTATATATTAACAAATCAATGTTAAACCCGAAAAAGTTTTTTGGACTCCTGATCTTGATTGATAACGCGTCTAAACCATCTTTCCCACGTGCTAACCAATCTTCTCCACTATCCAATCTGCTTTTCTTATTGGTAACTCACTTTGACTCTTCTCATTATACGATCAAAATTTGCGTACGTACGTATATACGTACAATACGTTCTAATAAAAAACATCACATGATTATATAATATTGTACGTTATACACATAATGATAGTGATCGTATTTATAAGTCATCCAATATCGATGGTCAAAAATTTCAAAATTTGGGGTATTCCATAAATTCGTCGCAATGATTGAAATAATTAAATTGGTTTTGAAATGATAAAAGTAACAAAATTCTTTGTAAAATATTGCTTTATTTAAATGAGCAAGTAAATATTTGATCCCACAAAATATTGTACGATTTTGAACAATCAAATTTCAAGATCAGACTGATCTTGAAATCTGATTGGTTAAGATGTGTACATTATTGGACAAACGACAAAAAATAACAGTCAATTTTTTTTTTTGTCGGAATTAATGTCACTCCATGTGCT